CAGAATTTTGAAATGCTATTATCATTTGAATATGTCTTATCTAACAGCTGATTCAGGTATCCGGACGCATCACATATCCGGACAAATTGACTGGGAACCAAAGCGTCCGGATAAATGAGGCTCCACTGTATTTCTTTTCCTTTAACCCCATGGTCTTGGCCTTAGAGTGTGGCCTACATTTAGAAACTAAAATATTTGATCTTTATCCTTATATACCAGTTTGTTTAATTAAGACAATTCATTAATCCAAATAATTTCCTTGGGAGCAAAAGTGCCCAGATTAATGAGGCTGACTTTATATGCATTTAATTTAAAAAATGCATGACATTATATAAAAAAGGTATCTCAAAAGTGTTTTATATTCATATAGACACAGTCATACTATGTTTGCAGTGTAAGAAAGAAGTAAAACATGTATTTTCATTCTTATTGTATTGAAATATTTTGTTCTTTTCAGAAAAAGAACTACCAGAAGGAGACGTTAAAGAGGAACGGACATATCACACCATAAGACGTGCTTCAAAATCTGAATATACGGAGTGAATTTTGCTTACTGCAGATCCTTGTGAAAGAACACCTTTGTTGTATTGACATAAAAACAACGGAATTGTCAGGATCCTTGAACATGACGCAACTGGCTGCATACGATGGCAATTAAAAATGCAAACATGTTTACATTGATCTTTGTTAACCAATAAGACAAAAAGCAAAATAGCAAGTTTATCCTATTACCGTACATGTTCTGAATGTATTCACTTTATTTTGTTAAACTACATCATGAGTTTAAAAATTGTACAGTATCACATACAGTTTATGGTGGGATTCCTCTAACTTTTATGAATCTGTTTGCAAAATATTTACTTTAAAGTTACAAATTATTACCTCTAATGCATTGTATGGTTTTTTTGGTAAATTATTAAACTACTTTTGTATATATGTAATAGTGTTGGCAATGAGTACCCGGTTAACCGGTTAACCGTCGAACGATGCGAGTATCGGTTAGTAAAACTGCTATTCGGTTACTCGGATAAAACACATTTTTCATAGTAAATACGAATTAAATAATTTTGAAGTTATTTGTAAATGTATATATTGACACATTTCCCTAATTTAATTACCATTAGGCTTGCTCTAGAATCGATTTGTTTTGATTAGTTAATTGATGACTTTAATTGCCAGGGGGTACACGTTTTGGAGACCTGAGTTATAATTACCTCTTTTAGACCCGTGTTAGTCAGAGGAACACACTTTAGCTAGATGCCAATATAAACATCTAAAGTATGAAAATATTGTTAAAGAACGACTGACTCGAAATCTGTCAGATGCAATTTATGTAAATCAGAGTTGTCGTATAAGGTTGGAACTACAAATATGCTAAATCAACTAAGATTGAAAAGTAATTCGATAACCATTGACTTGCATGAAACTCAACAAAAAAAAAACAGTAATTGCATTTTGTGTTAAAGTGTATGTTAATTCTCCTCGATCACGACATATATCTTCTTCATGTGTTAATAAAATTATTTTTTAAACAAAAACAAATTCCCCATTTCAAGTGACATTTAAAATCTTTGAAGATATTGTGTTTTTGGAGTTTGTATTTTGTAAATAAAGTAACATTTATTATTTATTATTATCAATATGTAAAAGGATGAGATTGATAAAAAATACGGAAACTATAACAAAAAATCATCCGAGTAACCGGGTACTCGATCGGAAGATTAAGCGAGTAACTGGTTAATGAAAATCGTCCGATTTGCCAACACTAATATGTAATGATAACCAAATCACCCAATTTTTCCGCACTTTTTACCATATATTTAGCATTTGTTTTAACCATGCTTTAGTATATTAATATCTGACAACTGATGACCAGGCAGTCTTCATTTAACAGTGCTATTGTAATACATAACACATTTTTATCTGAATATTTTTAAAACAAGGATAACATGCCATGGATTTATTCTGCATACAAAACTTCATAATCACTGGGTTTTCTTATTCATTTTGTAAATGTATTTGGAATAAAAAAGGAATTGTTAAAAGAAAAGTGAAATTAATCATTCTTTTGTTGTCAAAGGAAGATAATAAAACCTGTTTACTTATGCACAGAATTGGTCAAAACATATTGTCATTGATAATTCATCCAAGAATCATATGTATAATAGATCTACAAAGTCAATTTGAAGGATATCAAGGAAAGTTCTTTTTTTTTAATATAAGTGCAAAAAGGTCAAGCAGGGCAACATGTGTCCGGGTGTACATGTATAAATTGTTTTCTGTGATATAGAATGTAATTTAGAAGAATATTACTTGGAATTTTACTCATTTTCTTTGAAGTATTTTGATTAATTCCATCTATCAAAGTCAATTTGAACGATATAAGGAAAACTTCTTATCTTTTTTAATATAAGTGCAAAAAGGTCAACCAGGGCAACATGTGTCTAGGTGTACATGTATAAATTGTTTTTGTGATACAAAATATTATTTAGAAGAATATTACAAAGAATTTACTAATTTTCTGTGAAATATTTTGATAAATTCTTGATAATCTCTCTTAGTCACCATTTTCTTCAAAATTGCATCCTTCTAAAGGAAGGGGGTAGGGTAGGGTGTAAGATAATAAACTTGTTCCAGGTTGAATTTAAACCCCATTATGTAGTATGATTTTTTTCTGAAATTTAAGACACTTATAGGCTAACTATAATATGCAATAAAAAAAGAAATTTGATGGGTAATTTTTTCACAGTGGAAGCAGAAGTGTGAGACTGTGTGCAATGAATAGGCAATATTTTAACCTAATTTGACCATGCATGTTGGTAAATTTATTTCTGTTTTTTGCTTACAATGCTTGATAAATTTAAGATTGATGTCAAATATTAATCCATACACACAGATGTTTGAATTCATATAAGACAAATGATAATTGATATAGCAATAAAAAATTTACAGCCCTTTTCATATCATATTCTTATATTATTTTACCATGCTTTTTCAGCTCTTTGGTGGTTGATGAAGGCTATATTAAAATTGTCAAATTTCTCTAAAACTAGCCCGATGACCTGCCTTGAATTTTTGATATGATTTAGAACAAGGACTCAACACAAACATATAAAAAATTCAGAAAAATTCAATGGGCAGTTTTTTTGTTGACCAGCTATCAATCTCTACCTTAAGGACTCTCGTAGGTAAATCAGCCTATGCACAGTTTCGGGAAATCGATTATGACGTCACGATTAAACTGTACAAATCATTTACTTTCTTTTTCATACATTCTCACCTACAGTCATTCCTCAAAAATATTGTTAACATTAAACAATGTGTAATGTATCTTATATATTTTTGAATGTAGAATTAAAGCCACCTTGACACACAGTTTCTCTAAACTTAAGACGTAGATCAAGCAATTATTGAAACTAGTAAATATGAAAATTAAATTTAAGATTTCCGATCAATAATAGACTCAGAATGAATTTTAATGCATAACAGATATATATTGGCCGAATATTAAGAAAATGTAGTATTAATATGTCATATGAAATGTGGCAGACACTCCATACATACATGTATAATAGTAGATTTTCTATTAAATCAAAACTCGTGTAAACAAAAGAAATATCAACATTATATTGATTTTATCGAAATATTCTGCTGACGTAGTATTTACGTATTTATTCACATAGTATTTTTGTTTAAGGGGTTTATTAAATTTCCCAATATAAAAATCAAAAATACAATGTAACACGAGTAAACTGATTTAAAACTTTCAAAGTATTGCATTTAAAACTCCAAGAAGATTCTTGTATTTCCTTATTTTCTGACGAAATTCGTGATATATATTTTTTATAATAAAAATATGTGTAAGGTTTTCTTATTAATCAATTATTGATATACTAAACAGGAAAATTATATCCTTGTCAATTTCCTCTTTTCACTGAATATTTTAATTACATGTAACGCCTAACTTACAATTGATTTCTGTTTGCATTTTTTTTACGTATTTTCTATATTGAATTTACGTACGCGTTGTGGGGTGTCTGGTACATAAGTTAGGGGATATAAAACATTTTTTTTTTTAAATTTTATATTTATTTATTAACATACCGACATGTCCTTTTTGTTTATTTTTCCGAAGGCATTGGGAGAAAAAATGACGAATGTTCTGCCTCAAATCAGGCCAACGTAGCCAAATAATATATATTGCTATTACAATCGATCCAGCAGCTATTGCAGTCAAACCTCCCACCACTAGTTGAATAGTAGTACTTGAATTATCGTTGGTAGGTCTAAATTCAGTGATATTTCCTGAGTTTTTTGTCATGCTAGAAGAAAAAAATAATAAGATCAACAACACAGTCAATAAATTAAAACTCCATTTTACATTGTAACTGGAATAAATTCTCTCGCTAAAATTGCTTAGATTCATATCTTTCCAATGCTTATAAACAGTATCACTTTGTCAAAAATAACCTCTTGTAAAACAACTACTCTGAAATTGATGTTAATAAGAAGCTAAAGTTCCTCTTTAAGAACGTGTACGTAAATGTTGAGGCTAGAACGTACATTAACTTACTCTTCTCGTTAAACACCATACAATTTATTTATTTTTTTGTAATGTATTTATTATCATCATGTTTATATGCCGTACTTTGACCACATGATAGTATGAAACCATAATTTGAACTTTGGGAATCCTCTCCTCTTCCTATTGATATACAATATAGGGTGACCGTTGGCCTTCCTATTTATATACACTCCTTATATATGTATAGTTAAGGTGAACACTAGTCTTCCTATTCATGTACAATATTAGGTAACCTCTGACCTCCTTTTTGATGTACAATGTAAGGTGACCAATGATCTCCGTATTGGTGTACAATATTAGAAGACTACTGGCCTACCTATTGATGTAAAATATAAGGTAACCTCTGGTCCCTTTAATGATGTGCAATATAAGGCGACCTCTGATCTTCTCTTGCATATTTCATTCCTTTTAGCCTTCAATGCCTGAAGAGTTCATATAATACTATACACTGTATTTCTAATCAAAATGAGTATTTGTGGGTTACCCGAGGTCCCAATTTAGAGTTTGAAAGGAAACAGGAGGAACCTCTCTTGCGTCACAAGTACCGTCTTTATCTATATATTTCTTTCATCAATTTTATAATTTTTTTCAAATATCCATGCCTTAAAAGGGATTTGGTTTCCTTATCATGTCATAATTTATCAAAAAGTAGAAAACAATCCTGTATAGATGTACCTTTGATTCACTAAAGGACACTGAGGATCGTCTATGAAGCATCCTAACTGCTTGTTAATGTTGAGGCATCTCTGGACTTAAATACATAAATTAGACAGTTAAATCCATGTATAAAAATCAAACTATATTATGACAATTGAAAATAAACAATTTCTTTTTAGTAATTCATATTATTTAATATGGATGCAAACGCAATTTCTCCTTCATCGTATATCTGAAAAATAAATCTGAAAGGGAAAGTGATTAAATAATAATAAATTTATTGCTTTTTATAGGCAAAAACATTCAATGCACACAGACATTAATGTTTTTTCTCATATTTCCGATTTGTAACACGATTAGAATTGGGAAAATAAGGCAGAATTTGCACAGAAACTTGCACAAAATTTCACCTGCGCATGAAAAATAAATTAATATTATTTTTTGTTATTTTGTTTGAATATGAACACACCAGTAGTTTTGTTAAAAGTTTTTTTTTTTTGTGATAGTTATATCAAACCATATAATCAGAGTTTTCAAAATCAAGTCAGTCACTGTAATATCGAGTATAATTTTAAACGAGACTGCTGATATTCTTGTTTCATCAACTTGGTTGTCAATAATTCACTGAAGGTACCGGTATTTACTTAAATCTCTTTCTTCTTTGGGATTCAACATTCCAAGAAAGACCTTTCTAACAAATTACTGCATAATATTTTACGGTTAAAGTGATCATGTAGGAGCATACCTATACACAATATTTACTCGATATTATATTGTGGGGGGGGGGGGGGGGCTTTAACATTAAATAATGTTTGTCATCTCCATACCCTTCATTGTACTTTAGAAAGATCACAATCTGATAAGATAGTGAAATATAATACTCACAGAGGAAAATGTTGTTACTTAGGTAAGGCCGATAAGGACAGCCATCATTAAAGCTTTTACAACTGTCTTCATTTACTGTTCCGGAATCCGTAAGATGTAAACAATGACCTATAAATATTTAAAGAACAGTACCCATGTGTATTTCATGTATATTTTGTTACATTTGTAATATAATTTTTATAAATATTTCTAGTGTCATTGTATGAAGACAGGGATAATTATAAAACAAAAAGACTAAGGAATTTTACGGGTTTTTTTTTTTATCAGAGGGAAGAATCGTGTCATTTGAAATGTAGAGTGCACAATTTATATTAGACTTTTTGAAAAAAATGGAATTTGCCATTGTAAATATATGGGTGGCCGTATGATTGGGGGGGGGGGGGGGGTTATCATTTAGTGAGATCATTTCTTGTATTACCTCTAATTAAACTAAACTACACGGTACATCCAATAGGAAGAATAGAAATATACTATAGGCTGTCTGGATTGGTAAACTCCATAAAGATACTATTTAGTGTAAAAAATTCAAAATATAAAGTGTGCGCATTAATTTGTATAAATTGTTCAATGGTTATCCATAACAAATAAACCTCCCCTATGAAAAGAATGCTCTTTAGAAAGTATCACAGACTGAATCTAAAAAAAATAAAAAGCGACGATTGTTTGTACTGGAAAAAGTACATAATACAGGAGCAATGTGATCAGAATACATCACAAAATTAAAAAACATTGGTTCAACTAAGCAAAAAATATAAATTTGCTTTCATATGTATCACGTTCTTTAATCAACTGAGACAATTGAAAAGAAGAAAACGTTATATATACCTCCCCCCCCCCCCCCGAAAAAAAGACATACCCTTTTCATGCAGACGAATAAAATAATCATAGCAAAATTCGAGTAGAGCAGTTTTGGCTTGGTTTGGGATACACATGTATTGGAATCTGTTGTTTTTGTCGTAAGTGCAGTTTAATTGTACACCAGCTTCATACCAGGACTGATTTGTTGTGGGACAGGAGTTAACCTCATTCACCGGGAATCGGTACTGAAATAAGAATTATGCAACTACAGAAATTTAAGTGTTTCTGCAAGTCAACTCCTAGATGGGATTTGCATTTAGATAAAGGAAAATTACAAGGAGTTCTTTGGTAACAAATTTCCATAATCTTGGGGGCAAAATCTTTAAAATAAATCAAGTTAAGAAAATGGAGGATAAGGCGGACGAAACACCTATAGTTCGACAAACATGAACTGAAAAACTATAACTCAAATATATAAAAAAAAAATGCTTTGATATTTAATTTTAGATTAACATTTATTTTTCATAATTTTAGAAATTGCAATAATGAAAACTTGATCATGTGTTGATCTAAGTACTAAATTCACAAACACAGAAAAAAGAATACGATTTCTTAATATCTGTAGCTAAAGGCAATCTGCACGCCTTGTTCAACCATCTCCTTTATGAGTTTGCCTAATAATTTTGTTTTATTATCGAACGGATCTACATCTGGCGTTTTCAGAGTGTTACCGATCTCAACAATATGATATTCACTACACTATTACCAGGTAAAAACACATATTCATATCATATTGACGTTCACTGAGAATCTTCTGCCGTTAAACTTATAATATGATAATATTAGAAAGATTATTATTTTTCCACATTCATCTTAGAAATGCAATGTAATTTTCGATATATACAAGGAATAAATTGGCTTGTTTCAAAAACATTTTTTTTTAAACTTAAATATGATATCAGATTTTAAGAAACAAAAGCACTTACTTGCTTTACAGGATAACTCTTAACCAAGAGAAAGTAAAACATTAGGCATGAACCAGTGACCAGCACCTGCAAATACCTTATAGTTATTTCGAAACATTTTTTACTCCCATTCTTGTTATATAAATGAAAGAAAAAGTTAATATCAGCAAAATTATCTAAAGAAAAAAAGATAGATTTTTATTCCTAAATTTGATTGTTCCCTCTTTGAACAGAAAATTGTTTAACATTTTACAAGTGAAATATGTGTGAAAAATTTTGAAAGGTAAGTAAGCAAACATATAGACAATTTTACAATTTACATATTATGGTAACATGCTGAATGCTTCAAATATTTTGCCCTACCTTGTGAAGAAGTAAAGCTGAGAAAGACATAACTGGTTACATTTTTCTTGGATTATCCCAGATCTAAATGCGATCAAAAATAACTGTGATTTATTTTAGGTAGGATCCAAATAATAACTCAATTGTGAACTGTTTGATGATCTTTTTTCAAGGCGGCAGTATATTTCGTGTTCAGTTTCAGAATGAAATTTTTAGTTAACCTGCACCAAAAAAAAAAATCTAAATCGAAAAATATCTCACAAGCGCGGGAATTGAATTCATAGTCACCACTACTGACAGAATATATATATAAAATACACGGTATCTGTCTTGAAATATAAGCGATAGGGTAAGAAAACATGATAGAGGGCGAGGCTTGCCGAGCCCTTTTACGTGTTCGACCCAAGCCCAAGTATCGCTTATGTTTTAATACAGTTACAGTGTATCGTGTTTTTGTTTATCTTTAACATATTAAAAAATTCTTACATTTGAACGTCCAAAACTAGCTATTTTTGACAGATTTAGACACGTATCTGCGGTTGAAAAGTTCTATATAATGACGCCATAGCATAAACATTGCAATATATGTGACGTCACAATGCTTTTAGAACCTCGGAATACATGCACGAGACTTTATTAGGGCAGTGATCGGATAAAGGTAAGTTTATTAGGTTACCTTTATTAGGTCAATGCAAGAAGTAGTTGCAGGATAAAAAAAAGTTATACTGAAGGCCTATAGAAGGAAGGAATACTTCTGTTACACTGATAATTTGGGATTCACAAGTACATCGGTCTTGGTTTATAAATACGTATGTATCCTATGCATATGTAAAAAATGTACTTTTTTAACACATCGAAAGGGTTAACATATATGAACTTGAAAATAATCAAAGAACTAAATACTTGTGTTAAACTATCTTTTAACACCATATGAATAGGCCAGGTATTTGAATCAAAAGACAGTATTTACCAAAAAATGAAATGGATTGTTTAAAGAAGAAAATGATACAGCTTTAATTATGTTTGGAAATACCTTACTTGCTACTGAAATCATGACATGGATCTATTATTAGCGTGAAAATAGGTTTTCCTTACGTAGGTGTAGGATCAATATATTAGAAAGTTCCAAATGAAATTAAAGGACAATAATAACCGAGTTTTTAAACATGAAGAAGTAGTGCTCTGTGAATCAGTAGGGAGAAAAATGTCAGTTCTAAAGCTCCAACTGCTGTATATACATATTAAATTTTTTTTTTCATATTGTTTAACGGTACTTGAACACAGATTTAAAGTTATTCTTTCCTCTATAATATTAAGAGTTAGGTATTTTAATAGCATTTTACACAAAAATTAAATAAAAATCTTATTTCATATAAAAGATATTAAAATTTCAATTTTTTTGGCGGGTTAGATTGACACATCCTTGCACTTTCACAGATTAATTTTATTCTTAATCTTTAGGAAAAGAGGCAATCTCGCTGTGTATAAATGTAAAATATTAATACTAGAATTCAGAAAATTCAGAGTAGACAAGTTCGACAGCAAAAGAAACACACAATATATTGACAGTCCGTGCAGTTGTGGTAAGCAGACTGTGACGATTAAACGCAATCGTGAATTGTAAACATCAACAAAACAGGACTTGTGCCCTGTTTACAAAAACTGTGTACATAACACGAGTGTGCTCGATTTGCTAAACTCTGTACGCAACTCTTAGTTCGGAATGACGAAACTTTTAAATGAGTTTTGCTTTCTAACATTTCTACACTGAATAAAATCATTTTTCTGGATAAAAGTTTTAATATTTCTCATTAATACACAACAAGATTGTTACAATTCGTAAGGATTAAGAATAAGGTTAAAATTTGTGAAAGTGCAAGGATGTGTCATTAAAAACCGCTCAAAAGTTTTGATGACTTTTAAATGAAATAAGATCTTTAATAATATTTTGTGAGAAATGCTATTTTAAAAATATATAAATTGTAATATTATTGAAAAAAATATTGATTTCAAATCTGTGTCCAAGTACCTTTAAATCCAAGGTTCGATCGTTTAGAAAAAAAAGAATATATCTTAACCCTTTTATTACCTAAGATTTTGCATTTTTGCTGCAAAATTAATTTTAAAAAAAAAAAGTTTAGACATTTTCTGTTCACTTTTATATGAAGCAACCTTATATATATATTTTCTGAAAGGTAACATTCTAGAGTAATTAATACCGTAGAACTGAATGACGTCATAGGTGCCTTGGCAACGAAGACCCATAATTGCCAAAATGTTTTTATTTCTCTTTCTTACTCTTCAGATATGTAAACTTTACAAATATTACATCCATAACAAAGACTTTAGCGATAATATCAAAACAAAGCATACCATAAATGAATTTTGTTTTAAGTTCTGCTGGTCAATTATATTTGGTAGAAAGGGCTTTTACAAATACATGTCCTTCATTCGTAATGTATTGTGGCATTCAAGTTTTCTGATTGTCCTCAGCAATTTTCTAATCGCTTTACTTCCCAATGCGCGGGTTTGCAGCACCATTCTTTTTTAACATTTTGTTTATAAGCTTTATTCCCAAATGAATCACACATGATATTCATTCTAAATGCTTTTAAACTCCGATTTCTTGTTTTTGTTTAAATAAAATCATCTCGTTACACTGTGCTAATACTGATGAAATGTTATTGCGTTTGGGTCTGGTATTTAACTTCTTTGATAAGACATAGACCCAGAAACGACAAGACTCCGTTTATAGTATGCCTCTGCATATTTTGGTTCATTTTTACGACCTCAAATCAATCTTAGAATTCAATTTTAAGAAATTGTTGGTGTTATCTCATGACAAGGAGCACACGGCGGGTGTGACCGTTCAGCATGGGATGCTTACTCCTCCGTGGCACCTGATTCTACATTTCATGTCTCGGGGGTCCGTGTTTGCTCTGTTTTAATTTTTTATTGTTTATGGATTTTGACATTAAATACTGTTCGTTGTCTCCATATCCTTCTTCTTGTACATCACATTTATGGAATCAATCTAAAACACGCAGGTATGTTACGGTTAAAACCATACATTCAACTAAGATCATGCCATATGTAAGAACGTCTTTGCAAATTAGTCATTTTACATGTAAGAAAATTTCTCTTAAGAGAAATCTCTTAAAGAGATATGAAAAAAAACTTAATACTAATTTGAAATCTAGACATTAAAAGAGATATCTCTAGAAGGTCTACTGATTTCTTTTTTAGTTAAAAAGATATCTCTTTGATCTAAAAACATTTCACGTTACAAATCTGTAAAGCAGGTCATTTGCTATTGGGATCATGACATGTATCGATTATTAACGCAAACATGGTTTTTCCTTTGTATGCGTAATATCAATAAAATGAAATATTTTTAAAAATAGATGGGACAATAGCAGCCAACTTTTAAATTTTCCTTCCTACAGATATGAATGTACATGTACAGACTACTATTTCGTTCTGTTTAAAAGTTGGCTAAAATAAAAAAAAAACATTTTTTTTTTCAATAAAAGAGATATACTTTTTGCAAAAAACGATATGTTTTTAGATTAAAGAGATATCTTTTTAACTAAAAAAGAAACCAGTATACCTTCTAGAGATATCTCTTTTAACATAGGAGATATCTCCTTTTGCAAGAGAGCTATATCTTGTACAACAAAACAACAAAAAATTAATAGAAAATTCTTTTGAAATACATGCCTAATGTTTAATATTCATGAAAAGAAATCAAAATAAGCATAAAGTTGGAAATGCAATGAAACGAATATTCTCCGCATATAAAAAAAAGTATCGTAAATATAGAAAATGATTAATGTGGTTTGCGTAATGCGTGTATAGGATATTTATTCCTATAAATTGATAAAAAAAAATATTCTACTTACTATGCAACCGTGACTGTCTTTCAAATATCATTTACAATTGCAAGAGCAAATTAAAGTTTCCATTACGAGGAAATATTTAAACCGAAAGAAGTGAAGTCATATAAAAGCTCAAGCGTAGCCCTTTTAATTCAGCGTTTTTGCAAATTCAATGGATCTTATTATGTCTTTGTTTGCTTCCTTTGCTTCTAAAACGAAATAAATAGTAACATGTCATGCAAAAGTTATGTCGCGTTTTATTCTAAATTTAGATTTAAATGCCCCTGCATATCCGATTACAGAAGAAACAAGATGTATTTGTGAAACTCTGTGGGCCCGGCGGCAACAAAGTTCGAAAAAGGTATTTTTAGCAAATATGTCAAAGTCAAGGTCACAAAGTCATTGATCTTGGTGTCATTTAAAGGAACATAATCAGTGGAGTATGCAGACACTGTACCAAATATGAAGTCTCTTACACTAATTGTTCAAAATTTAAAGAGAAAATTCAAAAAAAAAAATTAAGCATATAAGTTAAAGTCAAGGTCACAAAGGTGTTGACCTTGGTGTCATTTGAAAGCACTTAATATAGTGGAGTATGCATACCAAATATGACGTCAATGACTCTTATGGTTCAAATGTTATAGAGAAAAGTCAAGAAAAGATATCGTTGCATAAAGGTCACAGTTAAGGTTACATTTACAAGGTCATTTAACTTGGTGTGTTTTCAAAAAAACTTAATTAGGTGAATATGCACACCAAAATAAAGTCTCTAACTTTCATGGTTCAAAAGTTATGTCGAAGGTTAAAATTGACATTTACAGACAGACAGCTAAGCAAACAAAGAGACAAACAGATAAACAGAC